GGAGATGTAGCTGAAGAGCCAAAAGTTTAAGGTCATCCTTTAATACATAGTGAATTTGAAGCCAGCCCAAGTCACATAAAACACTGTCAATAAATAAATAAATAAATAAATAAGTGTCAGGGCTAGGTTTGTCTTTTTTGTTGATATACTATTAATTGTATTATAAATTGTACTGCTGTGTTGTTTGTTGATAATGAAGAAAAAAGATCCTTTACTTTTTATTTCTTGAAGTGTTGTTTTGTTTTCTATTTTGTGATACTAAGGATCAAATCCAGGTCTCCAACATACTAAGTAAATTCTCTAATGCTAAGCTACATCCCCAGCCCTCCTACAGTGTTTTCTTAAAATCATAAATAGTTGTTGAATTTTGCCAAAGCTTTCTTCAGTATCTATGAAGGCAATCACAATTTCTTACTTAGGCTTATTAATGGTAGGCTCTTCATGGATCTGATCTAATACTAAGCAGAACTCCCATTCCTAAAATAAATCTGACTTGATCAAAGTCTATTATTTTCTCAATGTGGTACAAATTCTGTTTACTAATATTCTGTTTAGGTTTTTGCTTCAAAAATCATGTAAATTGGTCTGTACTTTTCTTCACAATGTCTTCATGTAGTTTCAGTGTTAAGTTGTATTTACTTTATCAAAAGGATTAGAAAGTTTCCTTCTATGTTCTGGAATAATTTATTGAGCAATGAACTACCTGGTCTTGGTAATTGTGTGGAATTTGTCTATGCAATCATCTAGACCTCCTGCTCTTTGTATAATAGCTCTTTGACTCTCATTCTTTATTTCTTCTATAAAAGCTGGCATGTTTAAATTTTCTCACTAATGACGTCAGTTCTAGCCACCTGTCTTTCATAAAACTTTAGATAGCTATATTTTCAAAAGAGCCTCTTGTTGGTTTTTGTTTCAATTTGTCTTTACATTTATTTTTTACATTTGTGCTTTAATTTTTTTTATCAAATTAGCCAACTGATTCATCTACTCTTTTTAAAAGAAAATGCTGATTTACTGAACTGTTTTGCAATTCTCTTTAATTTCTGATTTGATGTTATAATTCTATGCACTGTGATTTCTATGGCTTACTTAGTTGTTTTGCAAATTTTCTGAGCTTGGAATTTTAGTTTTATTCTTTTATTTTTGTAGCAAAAGCGTTTACCTAACAAATATTTGTTTCCAAGCTGCTTTAAATGTACCTTCTATGTTCTAATATATGTCCTAGTCACCATTTCTTTAAAATTTTATCTCAGTCCTTTCATGTAAAATTTGTTTTTAAAATGTTTCAAAAGTTCATGGCTCAGCAGTTAAGAGTACTGGTTGCTCTTGCAAAGGACAGGGTTCAACTCCCAGCACCCATATGTCAGCTAACAACCATTCATAACTCCAGTTCCAGAGGATCTGACACCCTTTTCTGACCTCTGTAGGCATTACATGACATAGATGCACTTACATACATGCAGGCAACACATTAATACACAGAAAATAAAAATAATATTTTTAAAAATTAAAAAGTTTCAAAAGTCCCAAAGAATCTTTTTCATTTTTGTTAATGAATCCTATTTCTGTTAATGAATCCTATTTCTGTTTTTTAAAATATTTTATTTATTATTTTTATTTTATGTATTATGAGTGTAGTGCCTGCATGTATGTAAGTGCACCTGTGTGGTGTAATACCCATGGAGTCAGAAGAGGGCATTGAATTCCCTTGGAACTGGAGTTATGGACAGTTGTTAGCCACCATTTAGGTGCTAGGAAGTGAACTCAGGATCTCTACAAGAGCAGCAGGTGCTCTTAACTACTGAGCCATCTCTCCAGTCCCATGAATCCTAGTTTTATAGAGCTTTGGTAAGCATGGTTGTTACATTCCTACTTGAGGGAAGCCACTGGTATATTTTTGTAATCTAATATAGAATAAATTTTCTGAATGTGTAGCACATGAAAAGGATATTTATTATTAGAGTATCAGTGTATCGAGCTCTATATGTATTTACATACATATGATCTAATCTATGAAGGTCCTCTATCTCCTTAATTGTATTTTGTATATTAGGTCTGTCTTGTGCCATTAGGGAAGTGACTCCACAATGAGTTACCAGTTCACATCTCTTAGAATGGATAAAAAAAAAATTTTAAAGCAGGATAACACTAAAACTTGAAAAGGAAACAGAGAAATTGGAAAAATATAATTAGCAGTAAGAACCCTAGTTTCTTTTAATTATTTTATTTTTGTGGTACTAAGAATCAAATCTAGGGCAATGTGTATGTTAGGCAAATACTCTACAACTAAGCTATAAACCCAGCCCAAGTTTTAAAATTTATTTTCAATTAACATAAAAGTATACATATTAATGAGATGCCATGCACTATTTCAATATACATATACACTGCAAAATGTTCATTCAAGGAAAACATATCTATCTCTACATGCATTTATTATTTATAGTGGAAACATTTTAAATCCTTTCTTGTAGCTTTTTTGAAATACCGTTTGTTACTGTTATCTGTAGTCACCGTATTATTCAAGAAAAAAAACACATATAATAATTTTTAATATAGATATTCTAAAATATACCATAAAGTCACAATATATTCCTACTACGTAGTTTTATTTCCTTTATTTCTTTCTTTTTCAGTGTTGGGGAATCAACCCAGGGTCTCCGATTTTATACACTTTTTTGTCTTTTTTTTTTTTTTTTTTTTTTTTTTAGTCTTTTTGAGATAGGGTCTCTTTGTAGCCCCAGCTGTCCTGGAGCTCATTATGTAGATCAGGCTGGCCTTGAACTCACAAAGATCCACCTGCCTCTGCCTCCCAAGTGCTGGGATTAAAGGCGTGCACCACCACGCCCGGCTTATTTTATATACTTTTTGGATGAGTTCTTGTTACATTGCCTAGGCTGGCCTCAAACTTGTTATCTTCCTATATTAGGTTCCTAAGTAGCTAGGACTTCTGGCATACGTCACTCCATAAGGCTTATTTATTTATTCACTTCTTTGTCTGTTTGTTTTGAGGTGCTGGAGATGATACACAAAGTCTTGCCTCTAACAGGCAAGCACTTTAACAGTATGCTACATCCTGGTCCACGAAAAGAATTTAAAATAGTATAGCCACAATGAAAAACAGTTTAATAGTTTCTTATAAACTAAAAAATGTATGTGGACTACAACCCAGCAATTATACTCTTGGAAATTTGTGTCATAAAAATAAACATTTATGTTCACACAAAGACTATACTCAAAATTCACATCTGCATTCTTAATAGCCTCAATTGGGAAATAACCCAAATATTCTTCAGCAAGTGAATGACAAAGCAAACAACAGTAGATCCATATAACAGAACACCATTCAACAGTAAGAGAAATACTAGCTGTCTACTAAATATAGTGTTAAACTGGCTCCTAACGACTTACTGTTATACCTATAAATTAATGCATCTCTCATCTCTCACTAGAAAAGCTTCCTTATACAGCATATCATGATTAACACAGAAACCCACAATTGGCCAATGTGCAGAGAACAAGAGGCTGCAGAGCACTTATCCCTGAATTGGACACCTGTATCAAACTGCCGCCAATAAAGGCTCAGGTATCGAGGAAGACAGGGCAGAATTATTGTTAAGAGCAGTAGATGAATACAGAGAAACAATTTTCTAGACCATTAGTCAGTTATTTATATGAACTCACCAAAATGGTGACAGTATGCACAAATCCCATGCAATCCTAAATCAGACAAAATCTCAGCACAGACATAGGGCAGTGGGAAAAAAACTCAACCCTACCTGAAGAGCTTATTGCCAACCAATGGATTCTGAGAGGGAGAAAGTCAGTCTCTTTCAAGGATGTTAACCAGGTTAACCAGGCTCCAGTGGGTGGACCCACACTGAAGGACATTTGGGGGACACAAATTAGACTGTACAGGCTAATATTTATATA